TCATAGGATAATATTAAAAACCCCACAGTTTAATTGGAAATATATTATTGGAAGTAAGTATAACTGAACGTAATTGATGAATAAAACATTTACAAATAATTTATTATTCACTAAAATTTTAAATAGCTATTAAAACATTACACTGTACCCATCGAGCTATATATACCATCCTTTTTTAACCGCATATTTGGATGCTATTTAAACGACGTAAGGTACGCTTTACAACAAGCATATTGAAAATTTGTATAGCTCTATAGTGATAGACGGTAAAGTCGCATGGCAAACTAAACTTTATTGTAAAGATATTTAACGACATCCTTCATTTCGGCATGTCTTACGTCTGTTTATAGAAAGTACCTACATTATTATTAAAGAAGTACATTAAATTTATAGAAAAATAATCAGAATGAATAGTATGCCTTTATATTGCAATTTCATGATTTTATTGTTTGAAAATAAAGAGTTTTAATTTTATGGGAAACATTTTTACAAGTGTGTTCGATTGTAGATTGTCACAGACCATAATCAAAATTGCAACAAAATTGTTTGTGACAATTTTTGTAGAAGCTCTATTATTTCCTGTTCCTAGGTTTTCGCTATTGCTACAAATGGGAAATGAAACTATTTTTTTAAATTTAAATCGCGTATGGTATTTCGAACAAATTAACTTTCGGACTCTTTACTGAGGCTCTACTACCTACTCTTTTTTTTATAACTTAAGTTTCGATCGGGGCTAGAACTAAGAATGCACGATAACGCGATTTGACGGTTTCAAACGGGCCCGTCTTTTTGTTAATTTCGGTCGTAGTCCCGTAGGTCAGCCATACTGGGGAAACGGCCGTAACTAGGCTCGGAAGTAGGCTGACTATGATGGTAAAGTGATCAACCACTTATGGGTAAAATCGAAAATTTTTTTGTTCGAAATAACGTTTGTTCGAATTTTCATTACACCGAAAACCGAATTATAACGAAATAGTTGTTCTTTCAGGATGTGTTGAATTTTATCACAAACACATGATTAGGTTTGGTTAGGTTAGGTTAATTTAGGTTTAAAAGAAAAAACATTTTCCGCTCAAAATCACTTTCGAGGTTATGAAATTTCGACCAAACGTGTCCGAAATGACATTTTCCAGAAATATCTGGAAAATGTCATTTCGGACTACTGATAGGTAACCCCACTTATGTCTAATATCAATAAGCTCTATCGAGTTTTGTGTTTGTCGAGAGAATAAATGTCGTACTTTATGTCTAATATGTGTTGAACGGTCAATATTTTGATAATTAAAAACCAGGTGTAATTACACTAAAAACTTGTTTCAAAAATTCGCTATGTAGTGACATTTACTCAAAAATATAATTCAATGAATTTCTTTGTTTTGTATAAAAATACATTTGTATGTCTTTTTTGGTATTTCCAGCCATGACAGCAAACTTCCGACTACTTGTTCTCTACTTCGAGCTGATTTCAATAGAAAGCGTGATGTTTAAGAAATAGATTTATATTATTATAGATAATTTTATTGTAACTTACATATGATAACTGCTTAGTATGAACAGTCAAAAATATATGTTTAAAATACATGCCATACCTACATACCATTACATACCATACATACCGTTGTCCTCCTTGTAGTGTCAGAATAATACACAAAACTACTTTTTTTAACTTATACTTAACTACATTGATTTTGTATCTAAATCATGTGACTAATCAAGTGCTTGGACGCTTGTGAGCAATTAACCAGTAACACTATTGTAAATGCATTTTTACAAAATTATTATCGTCAGCATTGACTCACAAATATACGTCAGTCTTGTTGTAGTCCCAAAAGTATACAGATGGATTTTAAGCATATTTCAACAAAACTACGTCTTTTTTGTTAATTACTTTTGCTGTCATTCTTTCAGCAGCAGCTTTCGTTATTATTAGATGACTGAGATGAAATGTATCTTGTTTTGGAATCAAGACTAATAAATTTGAAATTGAACAACTAATTTCGTAAATTTGTATTTCGCTGATTGCGAGTAAGGGTCAGTGCCCATTGCTTGGATATACCCAAGAAACCACGATCCAGGGTAACTAGAGATTTTTGGCAAATCTAACTTCCCAGAGCAGGATTCATAACGCGAATGGATCGAGCGCGTCGACAAAATTTGGCCGGCAGCCAACTTTTGGTACAGCTGATACTCTTTGTTTTATTAAACTTGGATCCTCTAAGTATTTGAGTCATCTCAGTAATCTGAACACAAATGGAATAGCGATAGCTACCTTTTTAAGACGAATACATTTTTCTTATGGTAATTAACTAATGTAAAATTTTGTATGATCTACAGCTACCTCAACGGATGATTGTGTGGCGATGGCATCCGGAGGAGATTTTACATGTTTTCCTAATTGTTTTGTTTTTATTCTCAAATTAGCACATGAAAAGTTACGTTATTATAAGGAAAACGTAAAGATGATGCCTTTTGAAAAATTTTATACTTTTTCAGCTACAAAAAACAGATGCCACAAATCAAAGCAAATCCAATTTGGGTCAGCTACAACATGAGCTACACTTGGAACACGGAAGACGTCCGGATACAGACAATATGATTGCGTCCGTGTCTGCACTGGCATCACTCGTCGCGTCTCAGTAGGTCGGCTGGCGCCAAAGTCGGCTGCTATGCACATGCGTACGTTCACCAGGCACATGCCTGGTGAACGTTTATTGCTTGTCGGAGAAACTTAACTTATCCCTTTAGGGTGTCGTGTCAACTCATAAAGGTCCTGCGGTTCTTCTTTAAGGGGAGTTGGCATGTTAATCCACTACACCTTAAAGAAGAAATATCAGATCTTAGAGAGTGGTGCACGCGGGTTGCTGGTTGGTTGGTTTCAAGATTATTTCAAAATAACTCTTTTAATTAAAACTTATTTCGCGTCGAAATTTAAGTTGTATAATGTTATGTAGCTTGTAAACTAAATACTTATATTAATAAAAGATTCAAATTGAAGCAGGTCCCGTGCATATATTCTCGGGACCTGGTTCAGATTATTGGACGCCGCGTACCACAGTTGCGAGATTAGTGCCAATCCACTTGGCAAGAACTGTAGCACTTCATATTCTAGTCTACGATTTAGAGAAGGAGCAGAATGATTCAGATGTTCTAACGGACTTATTATAATATACTTATTTTATTATAATCAATAGCTAGCATCCGGCGTAAATTCCATAGATACTTGTAAACGTGTAGTTACAAAAGGAAGCTTAGATATCTTGGTAGATATGGGTACTACAAAATTATGAATAATGAACATTAATATCTCATAATAACACCCGCAATCTTCATAAAATAAGGAAATAACACCTATATATTATTTATTATAGTGCAAATTGTTCGCAATTTCTATAAAATTATGATTAATATTTTTGTTAACAAGAACTGGCTCTACGTAACATAAATACTTCCACATATATATTTTTTCATAATAATATATATTTAACAGTATTTACATTATACTAAAGAGGAAATAATCTACTATATGGTTCATATATTACAAAAATCAAAAGCAGTCACTGGAGTATTTAACGAGTTGAAATGAAAGCTCCTTATTGAGAAGTTTCGTCTGTGGTCGCCGGAGACCCAGTATTACTAGCGCAAGACGCACTGGTTGAGGTTGGTGTAATAAAAGAAAACTAGTTAACTACGCCATTGTCAACCACAAGACGTGATTGATCTATACGCAAAATAAGCACGCATCCTGTCTGGGAAGGCAAACAAAATTCAACCGTGATTGAAACAGTGTTCCCTTTACTTCTCTTCGGCTTCGCAAAGTACCAAATAATAAAACCACTTATATTATTATTTTGTCTTAAATCTTGAACATATTTCTAATGAATTATTCTAAAAAAGACAATGATAAAAGCGTAAAAGAATAACCGCGAAACTTAAAGACAATCGTGGATGTCATGGAGCATACTAAAATGTTAGTGTTCATTTGCTTCAACGTTTACAGTTAATCACAGGGATTTCTTTTGTATTATATACCACAACTTACAGCGTGTACTTCTCTCGCTCACTTCAACAAAGATAAGGCTCATTCAGTGTCGTGAAAAATTCAAGTGGTTCTGATGCGTATTTGTATTAGTAAAATAATATATTAGGAAATTGATATATAATTAGGAAATGAAACTATTTTTCGGATTTTTAAACAAATGAACGTTTCGGGCCCTTTACAGGTCCCATAGTCATGGGTGACTGAGAAGGTAAAGTCATCAACCAGTTATGTCTAATATTAATGCAACCTAATCCAAATCCAATACAGCGCTGTACTGCTCACCGGAGTATAAAATTTTAATTACAGTTTGGCCACTTTTTATTGATACCTCAACGGTTCCAGCACTCAAATATCTTAAAGTTTTTTTCTCGAAACCCTTCGCCCATTATTTTTAAAACTTTATTGTCCACTTTACAACGCATCTCGCAAAGTGACTATTGCAGTAAATCCAGGTACACAGTTTAATGACGCCGACAAAAGTCTTCGCTGTATGCAAAGGTAAAAGGCAAAGAAAATCGTTGAAGGTGAGATTTTGTTCTCCAAATTTTGTTCAGGTAAACAACAACCAGGTACAACGACGTAAAAAGCATGCAAAAACATATTATGTACAGAGGAAAGATAGTAAAGTAAACATGTAAGTATTTAATACTTATTGTATGTATAATTTTATGTTTAGGTGCAAATAGTAATTTATTACGAAGTCCTCAATTTTACGCTCGAGATAACAATGCGTATATCAACAGCTGAAAAGCAAATGTATAACTCTGATAAGGGCAATGTACTAGTAATAAATGCTATCAGTTCATACATCGACACATTCTTAATGCCCATTCAGAGAAGTGATCAACACCGCTACACAGCACATGGCCTTCACACATGACATCATTGTGGCGGTTAAGATTAGTTTTTAAACTTCGCGACATCTACTACAACAGTTCTGCATACTATAAAAAGTACTCACCAACTTGTTTTGTCCACAATATTTCGAGTTCTGTTTTCAATAGTCATATGTTCAGCAACAGAAAATCCAAAATAAGAGCCTTCATCTCCAAACTTTAACACAGGAATCCTCGGTTCCAAGTTAAAACTGGTCACACTGTGTAAAATAAATAGAAATAATACACTAACACACTTCGGACCCATCGTGAGGATTCGTAATTTTCGTCGTAAAGCACCAATTCACTGTCTCGTTGTCAGGAACATCGCGAGATTTGAAATAGACCGAGGAGCGACATTGAAAAGGACCCCCAGCACACTAGCCGTCACACGACGGAGTATTCCCGCTAACTTTAGTCGACTCTACATTGGGCTATAAACTTGTCCTACTCTTGCTGCGAGTATAGAGGCGAGTGAACTCATAAAGTTAATACGACATCGAATAAAGCTCCATCTAGCGATACAGCGATATACTTCCTCGTGCTGCCATCTAGCGACTTACTAACATCGCAAATGGTCCTTCGAGCCGGATATTTTCAACGTGGCTGAGACGTAGAATCAAAGATCAACAGATGGCAATGACGGCCAGAACAAAGTTTAATTAGACTATTTTAATTATAAGGTGGGTAGGAAATTAGATAATCTATCATTGAATTTCCATGTCGAATAACATTCCAAGTTTTCTAACTTTACTATATTGGATAATAGGTAGCACGTCTAGAAATTAAAATACAGGATTTGGTTATATTTCAATATTTTATTAAACTATGTCGTACTTTTTATGTAACTAAATTTTTTTATTGGGTCGGCACATTTCCTTACATATTGTTATATAAGCAAGGCAGTCAAGCCAAGGTTTTGGCAATTTTAGGGTTTGGACCCCATTTGTTAGAAAGCAATAATACCTTGGCTGTCGATATCACCTGACTACGCGCTTCATTGCATCGTACTATAGATATCGTACTTGTGACATGCCACAGCGCGGTTACAGTATAATAGATGTCTGGCTGCTCCCAGCCTAAATTTTTATTGCCTATTAGCAAAATCAATAGTCAAGTATACCTTGAGTAAAGGGGTTTGAACCTTTTAGCTTAGGTCCTGTCCGCTAATCCAATTTTTTTTTCTAAGTTGCGTATAAGTTACGCATTGAACCAATGTGAAACTCGATAGTTGGCAATTATATATATACTCTTTCAATCTCCATTTTCTGTAATACGTTTTTAGGGTTACTTAACCAAGAATTATATAATATAATAAATTTTTATATAATAAATATAGCTGAAAGTAAAAAAGTAATACTGCACTTCATATGCCATAAGATTGCGGCATTTATTCTGTGACGTGATGACTCGTTACTATCCTGCCTCCACAAGCACGTTTCGGAATCCGATCGCATGCATACGCACGCCAATGCATTGGTCAGACTGTGCTGGGGTCTTACTATGAACACTTATTATGATTCAGTTTAGGACCTAAAATGAATCGTTGTGAAACAGCGCTACATGAAGTATATATCACCATCTGTTTTAAGACGTTACGAACCTAGACTGAACTGTAATAAGAGTTGATGGTACGGCCCCTGAGCTGTGATCGCAACTCGCCGTCAACTGTGATGCGTGCTCATGATATTTGATATAAAAATTGGTTTATATGAACGATCTGTCGCACGCTGATATATAAAAATTGCTGCGAATACAAACGAAGTTCAGTAACGAAATTGTACATAGCACAATTATCTTTGTGTAAATTATGTAACGTACAAACTAGATATGATACTAATCGCGGATATTCCCGATACTGCGCAGGAATTCTGCCGAAGATGCGCGACCTGTTTTTTGTACACAAAGTTCATTATGCTATGGTTACAAACAATCGCTTCTATTCCGGTCCGCGGCAATGGCAATCCAATCGAATACAATCAATGCAGGATAAGGATGATAAAACAGGATGTCAAGTATTTTACAGGTGTGGTTTCATTCTAAATTATAAAATTAAAATAACAACGTTCATGTGATTCATTTATTATATAAAAAATAACCAAGAAAACAGTTCGCTATATTCGAGACAAAATTAAAGATTTGTATAAAAATATAAATAAAATTGAGTTTAGACACGTTATAGAAATAATAGTTTTTTCTGATAATGCTATGTATTATTAGGAATTATCGTATGTCTTTTACTACTCTCTCCAGAAATAAATAAATAGTATTTAAAGGTAATTAATAGTAACATTGCATTCAAAATCATAAACGAAAAATAATATTTAGGAATACTGGTGAATCAACCCTTTTATAACAATTTAATATTATTTGCGTACATGAAGGTAGCGGCCATATTTCTATTCCAGGCATACAGATCCTTTCACTTGCAGCTATTGGCTTTGGCGTTATAGCTGTCACATACGAACCTTTAAAGATTCAGAGATCCAACATTCAATTAGCTTTTTTGTGCAAGCTCGCATTTGCCTATCAGACGATAGCCGAGTGAGTACAAAACCAGACTAGCCCCACAACACTATTGGTACTGGGACCTTCCCTCGGTTGCAAATTCGAGACCAAATCAGATGGCATTTGACGGAGCCCATGTCGCGCCAGGTGGGTTTTTTTGGCATTACAATACTTATTAGCAAACACGAGTATTGCTAAGCCATTCGGGTACCGTTGCAGATTTAAGGTAGTGGATGGAAAGTGAGTTCCGTCTGTGAGTGCGCGAACAGAAGGTTTAGCTGGGAGTCCAATCCCACGTTGTACACCTTCACTAATTTGGCCGTGGGCTGATCCGGCTCCCTACGGACTACCGCCACTCCCGACACCTTCATCAAGTGTACCTCGGAATCGACGGAGCCTCCGCCAGTGGTGGCCAATTTGACATGGCAAGTGACGTCGACGTGAATATACTTCTGAACTGCCTTTCCTTTCTTTCCAGGCACGTTAACGTATTCCGTTTTTTCCTCAATTTGGGGCAAGTCAGCTCTGAAGACGCTAGCCTCGCCAAGTAAGCCCTGAAAATAAATGAATCAATGAATACATACATAAATAGAAGATGCCCGAAAAATTTCAAGGTAATACTAATTATCCTTGGCTGCATGCCAGCTAAACGCATTTAGAAATTACTTGTTCCCAATACATTTTTTTAAACTTAAACAATGCTTATCAGTAAACAAATTAATTTACATGCAAACTCCACTAAAATACCATAAAATCTATTTACTTTGGCGTACAGCCAAGAAACGTCTGATCTATTTTCTACTTATCAACTTACTCCGTTTCCAGTGATTGAGAATTTCATTCCCGGTTGAATCGCTCGAGGTTCCATGCCAATGCCCTCGGGGTGTGAGTCAGACCAAAAGTAGTTTTCAGGCGAATTTAACCTGTCCGGTTTGAAGGTGATACGTTTGCCGTATCCCATTCCAATGGACTGGAGCAATAGGCTGCGGCCTTCGAAGAGGTGACGGCGACTGCCAGCTGGCCGGATGCGGTAGTAGAAGCCAGGAATAATTCGAGGGTCAACGTATGTCCCTATAAAAATAAAGTTTTCATCAAAAATATTTTATTACACTGTTTATGACACTGTAAAAGTTAATGTTGTTTCAGTGCAATAAACAACAAATGTTTCTTACCAATAACGGGCAGTTCGTATCTTTCCAGACCAACGATGCTATACTGGCACGGAATATCATTAATATCGGCTCCATTAACAGTGACTCTACGGGAAGATGACTCGATGCCAGGTTTGAGCTCGAAACCTTTCTTCAGCTGCTTGATACCAATGGCAACGTTTACAACTCTGGTAACAGACGCATTTCCTCGGCTGCTCTTCTTCAAGATAGCCACACCAGTAACAGGCACAAGTTTGGTAGCTCCATCATTTTCATACCATTCCAATTTGCACAATGTGTTAATTTTAACCTTCTTTTCAATGGAACCATCATCGAAAATACGTTGCTCCAGTTCGATTTGATTCTTCTACGAAAACAAAATTCTCATTAGTGACTAACACACAAATTCGTTTAAGTTTTTGTTTTATATCAGTAGTTATATTATTACCTGCTGTTGTACGACTTCCAGTATTCCCTGAGGTTCGTTATCAACGTCGTAGATGGTAAACTTATCTCCAACAGAAATTGCTTCAATTTCGAAAACGAACCCCTCAGGTCTTGAGTCGGACCAGAAATAATTCTCATTTTCATTGAGTGTGCAGCCATAAGGTTCAAAGGTGAGACGGCGGGCGAATCCACGACCGATTGACTGCAGAGTCAAGGCTTTTCCACCGAACAAGTATCTTGGCTTCACTGCTAGTGGGGGCGCATCTAGAGCCTGTAAATTTCAATATGATATACTAATATTCCGATCGGCAAAACAAAAAACAACACTGTGCGTTTAAAACCAATTACATTTTAAGTAATAATTAACAAAATGTATGATACTGCATCGTAATATACATAACGAAAAGATATTTACTTGTGAATTCTGGAAATTACCAAATTATTATTAAAGGGACCTATACAATGTGTTTTTCGAAAGTAATATTTACAATTAAATTATTTAACTTTGACAAAAAAGTTTAAAAGAATATACAGGTTTAGTGATCTAGGTTTGATTACTTTTTCATATCGAAATTTAAAACAAAAAATTGTCGCATTGTGAATATTATTTAACACTGAATACACCGCCGACGTGAATACATTCAGACATGAATAACCCAACAGGCAATGATTTGATGAAAAAGTAATCATATCAAGACCACAAAAGACAAATCTTTTGGAAGAGAACATTGATATGATTAACATGGCGTGACGCCAATGAATGATACTTATGGTTTACCTATGGTAGGCATAACATGCTGCGGGCCAGTATGTCACTTTTGACCTGTCGGGTCGCTGCTTCTTGAGTGTATTGCGTTCGCCGCTCTGGGCGGGGGTCTGAAAAACTGGACGATCCACATACCATCGCCTACAACGGCAAGTGCACACAACCAGTCGCGCGAGATGCGTAAGCTAACAGTATTGTTCGTTGATGAAGTTTTGATTCTGTAAACGTCAGCAACGGATACTGCCACTCACTGTTCTAACCCGCCTACAGTAACTCGGCCGAATATCTGGACTGCTGAATTCAACTACTTGACATTTTTTAATTGAACTTGGAATCTGGGCTCTTGATTGTTTATGTAGATTATTAGTAAACAATTCAGTTTTAATAGCATCTTTAAACATTTCACGTAAGGTTGCCATTACAACAGCTGACTTCAAAAATAATAAGTGTGAAGATAAAACGTGAGGCAATTTAGATTATAATAAAACGAATGTTACAATCAAACGAATGTTAAAAATGTTAATTATAAAATCCTCGAAATTCTAAAACTGTTATTAGCAATTAACGTGAACATCTGTCTAAAAGATATTACATAAATTACATGACAACCTTACAAATCATTGTGCTTTTGAATTACGTATGGAATATTATTATCTATCAACGTATCCTATATTCTTATAATAAAATGATAAAAATAATGAAAAGGTATAAATGACTGTCATCATAAGCCATCCTACTTTTGGTTGTAGTTATAATGGTATGAAGCTTAGCGAAATTTCTTCAGTGCATTTATATCAAACAGTAATCATTCTTCAAATCGAACTAAATGCCGAAAACATTCAGCATAATTATGCTATGTAAGAAAGTTATCGCTTAGTTCATAAATATTTTTGTAAGGTATATGAAGTCACTCACCATCCTTCTGATTCTGAAATGGACAAAACCTTGCAAAAATATTGACGTAACCACAACCAGATAGGTTTCAAAGTTTTAAATTTTAATCTTGATTTAAGAAATTGTATAAGCGATTATTAAAATCGTACAAATAAAACTTATGACTTTAGAATTATTCAATTAATTAATCATTAGCACAAAATATGCTTAAAGATGTCTACTGCTATTAATTTCCAAACTCAATTCACATCATTAAAATCGTAGCAGATTCTTTCGCAGTCCAGTCGTGAAAATTTTGCCCAACAATGATATGGATCTTCGTAGTTTTTCTTTGAAGGGAATCCCACATAAATGATAACAAAAGCTTATTTGTTGATGGTAAAGCAACATTCAACATAATCTGAAGAGGAGTCGTCGTCAATGCGAAATAAGTTACGTTAACCAAGTTAAAATGAAGAAACGTGGAAGATTGCGTTTACTTTGTTTCAAACTTGAAGCAATCTTCAACACTTCTTTTATAAACCAAGTATGTACGACGAGTCCCCTCAGTCCTGCGATGACCGTGACAACGCTTAAATACGAGATTAAATTACTCGTCTCACCTGCATTGGTCTGACTTTGTATCGGAATCCGGTTCTGACGCGAGGGTCGATGTATGCGCCGATGACGGGCATCTGGTGCGGTGCGGGCTGCGGGACGCGGTACACCGCCGGGATATCTCCGAGGGTGCTAGCGTCGAGAATGACCACTTTGTCATGGACACTCTCCGTCCAGTAACCCTTGAAAACGGTTCCAGATTGTTCCTGAAGAAAATTGTCAGTGAAAACTTTATGTTTTTTTACGTTGTATAGTTTAGGCATTACTTCAAATTACTGTGCAGGTTTATAAATCGAAATGATGACTTTTCCAAGCAAGACACATCAAACCCATTTTTATTTCATATTTATATTTTTTATTTCATTAATTACTATTTTGAAAACAAAGAGTAATTAGTGTCCTCCCATGATAGAAAATAACGAAAATCTAGATAGCAATAGTAGTAAGTAACAATTGACAATACATACTGTCCAAAATTAAGTAAAAGTTTGGAAAAAAATACTTTAAAATATGTAAGCAAAGTTCAAAACAGTTCGGTTTCGTTAGACGTCATAGCATATTACACAGCAATCATTTATAACAACTTTCAATTGAAGAGCAAATTCATAAATAAGTACTATCAATTTACAGCAATTGAACCGTTTTATACGTAACTATTTATCGCTGCTGCGGAGTAGCTTGTGTACGTAGTTAGCACAATCAAGTCACATCGATTTATTTGTTGTACCGTATACTTGGGCAAAGTCCACGTAGGAGATTTATTTTTGTGACATTTTCGTGCTCTATTTTTAAGTTTTACATCGCTTGCCCTGTCTGCTATAATCAATTATCTCGAGACATGCGCGAGAATTTGGTAGGTGAATCAGAGAGAGAGTGAGAGAGAATTTTATTGAACGGAATGTTTTTGAAAAACAAACCTGTTTCCATAACTCCATAAGTTGATAAGGAATACTTTGCTTAACAGGAAGTAATAGCGTTCGAATTTCGAACTTAGAATAAAGACAGTCCAGCAAAATCGCTAAAGGCTTGAAACCTTCTGCTGTGTTGTAAGACTTCTCGATTTTTGTATAAGTGAAACTTATAGTAATTTTGCTGTTGGCTATTATCAATGAGAGACGACGAAGCGCTACAAATGCACTATTAAAGGACGATAATGAAGAAGACTGATTGTCTCGATTTCTCGTTAGAAAAATCATGGAATCTCGAGAAAAATCGTGAACTTTGTCCTCTTGAAAATTCTACCTCGCAAACATTTATATTAAAATTCAGATCTGAAACTATTTACTAGTGCATTCAACAAAAATAAATAGTAGGTACATTAGCTTATTGAAATATAATAGCAAGTTTCAACAGTGCTGTTTTTTATTTAGAGGCTAGACATAACGCAGGGGGTCGATAAGTGACATCAGTAATAGCGATAAAGCGGAGGGTGTGGCAAATACGGGCAATTAACAAACATTTACTGACGCAGACGAAAACAATCATAGTAATGCACCAAACAATTCCATTGTTGGTCACTTAATGTAAACGTGGGTTGTTTTCTAAGCATCGGTTTCGGGCGTTCGAGATACGTTTGTCTTTCAGACCAAAGTTTACAGAAATGTAGAAAATATTTTTACTTGTGTTATATATTGAAGAGCAACGTAATAAAAGGTACAACATGTTTATGGTACTGTAGAGAAAATGGCATTGGAAATATTCATGGATCATTACAGAGTACTTCTGCAATTCAATATCGTGATGTTACGTATTCGTTTTTAATTGCTTTAAATAGAAATTCTCTCTAGAAACGTTAAGCATTATTAGTAATAGGAAAATACTTACAGGAACTTCCAATTCAGGGAAAGCCTCATCGCCGTCACTTTCATAGTCACTAGCCACATGAACGTAGGTTTTGGGCGTTCCTTCAGGTTCCTGGAACAGAAAATTAGGGTTAATTCCATAGAGTACAAATACATAAATGTTATGAATGAGTAGCACTACGTATTGATTGGAATTGATGTGGAGATGGTTTTTTAATATCCGTTGTTTATTTAAACATTCCAACAAGGAATTCTTCGAAGAAATTTCAATCCCTCTGTTATATTTTTTATTAGAATAATTACTGCTCTGTCCATAAACAAACTATTTAAACTAATTAGAAAAATAGCCGTAATTTATTTTATCAATTAACAATTTGGTTGGCGTAAAATTATTTTCCAGTGAGAGTCACGAAATATATTCAGGTCAATTATTAATAGCAGTTGTCCTTGACATGCAATTGATAACTAGTGTCTTGAAAGGACGTTAATATTAGTTGCAATTTACGGAGCACTTAATATTCAAAGATGACGACGTCGAATACATCGATTGTCTTGTAAATCATCTACAAAAGAACGTGAAACTAAGCTGAATTCCTTTCAAATTCGTCCAAGCACGTTTTAAAAGCAAGTCTATTATCACTTTGCGAAAGAAGTACATTATTACAAATCTTGAAGTAAAAAAATACAGATTTGTTCGGTTTATTCATAGAAATTTTGTTCATCTATTTCCTGACCGATGGCTTGCCCTCATTCCTGTCTAAATTTAAATAAGTAAACACCTACTGTTTAGTAAGCGCATTGCCGAGCTTTCTGAATTTATTGACCTTTACTTTTTGCGTATGAATTTTTAAAGTTTAGAATGTGTGAAATCATCGACAAGATTACTTTTACTTTGGTCGTCTTCTATTTGTCCACATTCAGCTGTGTTTACATTTCGTCGGGGATAATGCAAATCCGCGTTTGTAGTATTGGTAAAAGGCGCGTATCTGCAAAACATTTTACTGGAGGGATTTAACGTGATTACTTTGTTATTTCAATTTACTTTCATTTTTACACAGTAAGCATAATTTATGTTATTTACGTACTGATAACAATAGATTATTTAATAATTCTGTTGCTAATTTTGTTACCACGACTTTTACGCGGAATTTGGCCACTAAATTACCGAAATGGCAACTCATAATCCAATGCTAGTTACGCGTCATTGCACTATCTCCGACGATTTGCACCATCGAGGACAAAAACTCTGAGATCCCTCTCATTACCATTCTATAATCAAATTCTCGTTCGTAACCTACACCTACTTGTTTAACATCGTTATTCAAGACTTTCCGATAACGAAATTTAATTTGCGTAATCGATGAACAAAAAGATACAGTACTTTCAAAAGACTGGTGATTTGCATATTCCAGGCATGAAATAACACTAAACCTGCATTACAATACCCTATCTTTTAAACATAAACTGAAACTATATAAAAATAGAAATTACCTGTGCCGACGGCAGAGTCTCAACAAGCTCAGGCTCATCCAAAGCAGTAGAGGTGCCAGCAAGACGGGCACGGGTAAGATTCCACAGCCTCTGCAAGGCCAAAGGGGTCTCCTCATTCTGCATTTCCATAGCTGGACTGGCGAGCATCTTAGTTGGGTTTATTCGAATCTAAAAACAAAACACAAAAGTATTAGAAAATTATTAAATAATAGGTACAGGTAGGTATTTTAGTAGCAGTGATGCATCATCATAATAAATTTCAAAGAATTCTTCACGTTTTCTCGTAAAGTATGTGTAACTTACTTATTGTTAGCATGATTGGTCGCGGTATAAAATTCCTATGTATACGTACCTACAATTCTCGTCTGTTATTGTTATGAGTATGAAGTTTACCTATTATTCAACTGATTAGGTGCCTTAACTTCAAAGATCTATCGTAGCAGATTGTTTTATTCAAGAACGTTTGATAATCAGTATTCTTTTGAAGATCAAGGGAACAAAATCAAGTTTCTGGGGTTTCCGTAAGTAATTGAATCACATAGAAAAACAAAAACAAGACGTCCGTGTTTTGTCCACGACATAACCGCGTGTACCGTTTCATTGCCATGGGATTTATGGCGGAAATGACATAGCTAGCTACCGTGAATTTATCCAATAAATGTCATTTTTATAACCGTAGTAGCGACTGGTTTGGAATTTAAACAAGAGTACAAAAATGGATGTGTAAATTAGCATCTTTACACGTTACTTTTTTTGATCAGTTGATGAAGAATCTGTCATACAATTACTTTTGCAATAAAAATATGTTTTCTCGCAACATCTTAGTAAAGATTAAATCTTAATGTAGCAGATATTCATAAAAAATATATATCTGTTACCCTTTAATAAACTAAACTAACTACTTACTGTAATTTAGTTAATTTAACATCATAATATGCCAATATTTATCCAGTTATAGTTTCGGAAATAAAATAAATTTTTCCTTATAGGTCGTTAGGTATTTCGAAACAAAAATGATAAATAAACATTTTAATTGTTGTTAATATGACGCAAAAAAGTCCAACGGTAAATAAAAATTGAAAATAATCTAGAACGATCCCTGTGACAGTTCATAAAAATATGTTATAAAAAATGTTAGGTTTTCCATAATTTAATTAATAAAATAAATTAACATTTCCATGTTATTACTTTTTGAAATCTATAAATTAATGTTATGGTTTTTGAAATTTTCAAAATATCTATTAAAATTGCATTTGAATTATAGTTGTGTTTTGTGCTTTCAACATGATACAAAAGACTTCACACGTCTATACATTATTCAGAATACGACAGAAAAAACTATAACAGTAAATTTTTGCTTAAAAAATCAAATACACTAAAAATCTATCGACTTTACCTCATCCTTATGACTATGACAAACGTCAAATGAAGTATCACAAGGTAGTGATCAGGGGCTTTTGAAACAAGGATAAATCTTTCGAGAAAAGTAAACGTACGAACAGTTAAAGTAATAAATTTGACTATTCTGTCTGCCTAGTTCTTTTTTTAAAAACTGTATTTAAACATTCCCTATTCTTTGTTTAGGTTTTGTTTTCAAGTGAACCGCGAACAGTTCAAAGCTCACATATAAAATCGTTAAATCAGTAGGAAAAAATCTTTAATCATTCTTCAGCCTACGCGTGCGTTCTGAATACCATGATGACTCATATGCGGTTGTTGATCAAATAAATCATGAGTTAAAACGGAATTTAGGTGACAATTTTTGCCGTGTTAACGACCCTAGTATTTACATAATTAATTGGTTTGATTTCTCCAACAGAATATTAGTAAAATTCAAGCAGTATCATTGAGTATGATACCTCATTTTTTGTATCGAAATTCCACAAAAAATCAAGTATGGATAGAAGGAGTCGAAAGAAAGAGCCACCCTTTTGTAAGTGAAGAGAAAAATTCCTTCGTATTTTGAAGTATTAAAAGTTTTATCGAACTCAGTAAAAAATTTACAAAAAGCGTTTCTTTATATGACTGCGAGCAGGTAGTCGTCCAATTTTTTATTTAACATTGTTAGAGCGCCAAGTTTGTTTTCCTTTCAACTTTAATGCCTGAACCTTACCTTGAGGTTTAAAATATTTACTTTTACAAAGAACGGGGCCACATGCATCCGCGGGCAATCTAAGCAGGTAAAAGAAAACACGGCAGTAACCGTGTTTCGACACGGTTACTGGCGTATTTTATTTTACCTGCTAAAATCGGCAACACATACTGTAAATTTAAACCAGCACTCCATAGCTGATACAGGTTCAAGACTAATTTTCGATTAAATTTGTTTAAAACAGGATGAAAATTAAATGCGCTGACTATAAATTAAATCTTCGTTATAATAAATTCAAGGAAAATGAAAACTCTAACTAAAACTAGTTTATAATCTAACATTGGAAAGTCATCAGTGATTAGTTGTGGATCCAGTCGACGTAGCGCCAGTCGCCGCCGTTAGTAGAGAGAGAAAGCGCTGCATTAAAAAGGTCGGCCATTTGCTGCGCCTAGCCGTTAGCTAAGCTGTTGCCAGAATGTTCCAGAGTTTGCATTTCATTCGTCTTTAGTTTGGTTTCCATCTTAATTTTTATTTACTTTTAGTCGCCAGTTTTTTTTTCACGTTTCATATTCAAACCGTTACATTGATAAAAAAGGTAGAGTGAAAAGTTTAAGAGTTTCGTTGTGCTTACCTTTCAATTAATAACTGAGCGTAGAAATGCTGTGTTGACCACAGGAAATACAATTTCTTTAATTGAATTTCACAAATGTAGAAAGCAAAAAGTATACACAATTTGCAGCGATGTCGGCAAACGAGACAAACTTGGCAAACGAACGGTAGCACAGCTCGAATACGACTGAGGGTGCTTGTCACGAGGAGGCTATTATAAACTTGAGTAAAACGGTGATTCCAGCACAGGGCCGCAGCTAGTAAAATATCAGTGGATGCCAAATCTCTCAATCATCAATCTAAGAAATCCAACTTGACTTTTTTTTTGGCGGAACCAATAAAAATTATTATTGTTTTTGACTAGCGATTGTTTAAGGGTATTTTTTTATTCCAATTAAATACATATTACAACAAAAACCAATTATATAATAAACCCAATGAAGTTGGTGGGGTAACCTTCTCTAGGAGTAAAGTAACAAGGTGGGATTTCTTTTTTCCAGTACGTATGCGTAGTATCTCTTATTAGTTTGTGCAGTACGTATCTGTACCTCTCCGGTTGCGCCGACCTAGTCTTGCACCATAGAACAGGATGACGACATAATGAGTGAAAGAGATGGAGATAGTGCACGCGGCGGCTGCGTGTTTCACCAGACGGTTACACTCACAGACGCAGCTGGTTACGCGTGCGTCAAATCTTCAATAAGGCTGGGTACATTGAGATCGACGTCGTTTGGTCCTGTATTCGGGGCAAAGTCCGGAGGGTGTGACAAAAGGGCGTATTTATGAAGCTTACACGAAACTCAGAAACACGTGACTGAAGTTTCATTATGAAAAAGTTGCTTAGATGAGATACGGTTTTATAGCAAACTGTTATGGATGTCCCATGCTTGCAAGAAAACCTAAATATATTAAACGAATACTTTTTAACGGATAGGTGTATTGTAAGTATTTCATTTAAATTTCTTATTAAAATCTATGCCCAAATCAGTGTCGACACAGGTCCGTACCGTTCAATATCGGAAATGTTATTTCTCAAAATTTTACCTCCTTGTTCAATTCTACATGAATTGAACAAGGAGGTAAAATTTTACATACAACACACTTGTCTGTCTAAATAAGTGCATTACAGTAAAATCGTCAGGTGGTTTGAAAGAAGTATAATTATAAATCTTTTCCTTATTGTCAGTTCAATAGTACGCACCGAAATTCATAGAAAAATATTCATTACACGTAAGATATAACTGAACATGTGAAACAAACTAGTAGACAAAAATCGTTTACGAGAGGAAGCCGTTCGTTGTAAATTTCCACATACAAAGTTCCGAGGTTTAAAGGCAAAATCGCGATTCATTATTATCACATTATGTAGTGGAATCTATTAGACACAATGAAACTGTGTAGGTACTAGTTAACTATTGTGCAACAGCCGGAAATGGCATCTAATTATTTACTGACAGCTTCTCATTTTCCCCCCTCTTTTACTTTGATTTATTTATTCCTAAGTAGCACCTTAATTTCAACACCCATGTTAACTAACATAAGATTTTTTAAATTATTTTAGAAAATTTAATGTGGATTTTAAGAACAAAAAGAAGAGGGCTTCGAAACGACACATATTACCTAAAGATTCTACCTACATTCAAAGTTCCGAAATACTATAATGTGTATGGTAGAAGAATTTCGGACATACATCTTCCCCGAATTATTAAATAAATTACCAGAATCTATTGTAGAAAAATTACAAACAAAAACAAAAAGCAAGCTAAGAACGTACTAACCGATATCTCGCTTTCAGTCATACAAAACACTGGATGACGTGTGCGCTTAACATAGAAGGTATAAATGAAATATTTGAAATTTAACAATATTTAATTTATGATCTGTAACAAACACCGTATGAAAAGATATTGTGATTTCTTATAAGTCGCTTCATATGGGTAATGAAGACTTATTATTTATTATATAAATTGTGGGGTCATCGACGGCCTGGTTACAATAGGTCAGGTTAGGTAAACTTGTTGTTAAATGTTGGAGTGGAAACGCAACTACGAGAACGTTAGGTGAGAAATTTAAAAAGTTAAAAGTTTATAGATATGTAATACAGAGTAATGTAATGTGAGTCATGAGTGCTAATCATGACCAATCGCGACAACGTAATATCATGTAATAACGTTAACTATAATTAAAAAGCATACGATGGGCGGAAAATAACGCGCTAGATCTGCATAAAAACAATATATGTATATTATTACGTAAACCGTAAATTTAAAAAAAATATTATTTAAAAAATTGAATTGAAAAATTAAAAAAAATGTGACTTTACAATCAAATTCGTAGCAAAACCCTTTTTTTATGATACCAAGTAACAGGACGAGCCAGACATGCGTTGGTGGTAAGGGCCACGCCAGTCCATAGCAGTTGCTGTACCACTCAGAGCTTTTATTGC